GGAATCAGTATTATGAAAAGCATCATAACATCTTAGGATAAAGAAAATTACTGTCACGCAGAATAATTTATCACAAAAAGATAGGAGAACTGTTTGGGCTGCCACATGTAGAAAAAACTATTAGGTATTAAGTAAAATCTGATCAGCACAACATTCATAGGACTCTGAAGTTCTGATTGCAGTTCAAAAATAATAATAAAAATAATATTAATATTACACATTAAACATTACTTATTGAATCTTACTTTTCTTTTTATTTCTTCTGCAATAAGTTCTTTTTAAATAGCAATTAGTATTGTGAAGTTGAAAAACAAACATAATGGTGAGTATCAAATGGTGAAACTCATGTCAATATCATGGAATAAATTGAATATATGACGATGTTTCCATTTCTGCACTTGCTATACTATTGTTGTTGCACAAAAATAACATGGAAAATAACTTTGCCCTATTATGAAAATATTATAATTTCGTTTTTAGCTGCCACATTATAAATATACAGAAATTGCAGAGAATGCCATTCGCGCGTGAAACTATTTCTATAGTGCGGATGTTTCGATGCACGGATCGCTTAACGATTCCTTATTCTGCAATTCAGTTTTTATAATATCTTTACATCAAAACAATCACTCGATGAATGAGAAATAAATACAGAAGAATCTTGTTTTTCATTTACTGAGAAAATTCCTCCAGAAAAAAAGTAACAAGAAAATATTCCAGCTTTTCCGTTACATTGTTATTTATCTACATATTTTCAAACAAAACTAACAATGTTCTTGATTGTTCAAATTGATCCAATTACAAACTGTTTCTACATATGTGCTGTGTTATTATGAGATATTTGAACAAAATTAGTAGATACCAAAATCACACTTTTCTTTTAGAGAAAAAAAAAGACAAAAAAATAGGAAATCAGATGTCAAAGAAAGTTCATCAAAGCTTCAATAAAGTTTGTCAAATATGCATTCTCAAATTATAAAAATTATTGTGTCACATGTAAAATGTAATTTTTAGATATTAGAACAAAGTAGATATTATCATTTCATCAGAAAATACTTCTTGAATCTAAACAATAAAAAAATCAAAAATATTTATTTCTATTGCCCATTTTTGAATCATTCAAATCGGATACTCCGTTCTTTCAATAACTCTTTCTATTGTCTGCACTCTTTGCTCCATATCTCCATAACGACTGGACCTGCTTTTGCCAAAAACTAATCAAATCATATCCCTATCAATAGGAATCGAATGCTTTTTGAACCATTCAAATCGGTTGATCCGTGCGCCTGAAAACGTGAACGAAATATTGCGGACACACAAAACACCCACACTTATCCATTTTTTCTGAGCCAAAATGTTCAGAAACCTCCAAAAACGTGAAGACTTTCTCTATAGGAAAAGTTAATAAATATAAACAGTGATCTTTGTAACTATCTTTACATTTTAGGCACATGCAATAATTGCAAAAAGCAAAATTCAAATTCTAACATCTTTTACAAATATTGCTCAATGGCTTTAAAAATTCCTAATAAAATTGGAAATTGGTCTTGCAACTATTTAATTTCATGACAAGGAACAAAAAAATTAATCGACTGGATGTAAATGAAAATTTAAAGTGTGTATGGTAAATTTATTTATATAAAATCGATAGAAAATATTAACGTCAGAAACTTAACTAATGGTTATTTATTGTATAAGATTGTTAGATACTAATCACCTGCCAATGTGTCGATAAATTATAAATGAACATATATGTATAATGTATTTATATATATATATATATATATATATATATATATATATATATATATATATATATACGATATATATATATGTGTGTGTGTGTGTGTGTTTGTGTAAAAATGGAGAAAAATATATAACTACATTTTGCATTTTTGGCATGCCGAAGAAGGGATAAAATATAAAGTTTGTTCAATGAAATTCAGATGCAAAAAGAACAATAATTATTGCATAGTCTTCCACTATAAGCAATTCTATCTACAATTTACTAGATTTAAAATAAATTTTAAATTAATCGTCACACAGCACAATAATCAAAATAGGGATTACTTCAATAGACTAATTTTTTTGTTATCTTGTTAATTATGATCTGTCATACTAGGACATTCAGTAATTATTTTGACGGTTATATGACTTTTTGAATGGAAAGCAACCCAGCAGTTGTCCAATTCAGTTGTGACTAATTAACTACACGAAATATTTGTTGACATTTTAAGATTTTATATGCAACCTACGAAAAGTTATTTTTGAGGTCTGTAACCTAAAGTGGAAATTTGACATCAATGCTGCCTGATGTCGGACTTGGCCGTGGCTGGGATCGAACCAGCAAATACAGAACTAGTTTGTGCTAGCCCACGTCAGAACTAATTACACTACTAGGCCTATGGACTTAAATAAAAGTTAGTTCACAATTGAAGAAAAAAATCTAGGCAACAAAAGTATTCGCTTCAACTAATACGTTATATAATTACTCATGTACATATATAATTATATATATATATATATATATATATATATATATATATAAATATAGAGGTCGTAGTTATAGAGTTTCTCTTTATTTTATGGAAATTTAGCACAATTGTAAGATCAATTGTAAATAGCGATCCATTGATATTTACAGGTATTTCTCTAGGTGTGTCATGGATGTAAAACTAATGTAATTGAACCATTGTGAATTTGTTTATGTAATAGGAACGGCTTCTTCTATATTATGATTGCTAATTAAATTAACCAATTTTTAATGGTTAAATAAAATATCTTGTTAAAATATATGTTAAATATGTTAAATAATTAATGTTATTTTATCAATAAGTGTTAATTAATTTTAAGTTAGATTGCACAAAATCATTTCTTTTTTATAGAAAAGAATGTCCTATATTTTGATGCATCCGTCAGTATTACTTACATTTGATGATAGTGAGATGATTTGATTAAAAAAAATGTGATTCGTACATAAAACCAATACATAGTTCTTTGCAGAAGTTTGGTTGAAAAAGTTATATTTAGTTAACCAGTTATAAGTTATATTTAATTAACCAGACAATTAACAAGATAATTATTTTGATAAATTTGATTTTTTTACTATAGAAAATATCTTGGAAATGTCCAAATCAGAAAGAGTTTATTATAATAATATGAAGAGCTATTGAAAATACTAAAAGAATTACCAGCATTTTTAAAAAACAAATAAAATAAAAAAACAAACAAAACTGCGACATCCTATACTTATGAAATTGATAATATACTAACCAACAATGCACATTCATTTTAATGTTTTCAACATAGATCACCCAGAAAAGATTAAATAAAATATTCCTATGTCAAAAATTTATTATGTACTTACTGATAATTATATACGCAAATAATATTTTTCGCGCATTGGTATGAAATGATAAATTTGGTATGAAATGAAATGATAAACAATAAAAATATTTCTGATACTGTATAAAATTTAAATGCTTTAGTCGAGTAAGAAATCAAAATTTTGATAAAACTAATAAGGGTTTTATAAGGTGACCATATTTTTTAAAGTCAAAACCGGGATGGCAATTTTTAGTTATGCTAATCCGGGACAAGGGGGAGGGTAGGCCTTTAAAAAATAAATGATACATTAAGAAAACAGTTTTTTATATGAATCAGTTTTTTAATCAGAATTATTTCAATTTCTGGCATATCTCAGCTGCTTTTTGGCAATAATAATGTCGGCAAGAAAACAGTTTTTTATATGAATCAGTTTTTTAATCAGAATTATTTCAATTTCTGACATATCTCAGCTGCTTTTCGGCAATAATAATGTATCTACATTAATATCGAATATATTCTAATAATGTCTAACATAGTAATATTGTAATAAGCTCATTATTTAACCTAAATTCAAATTTCAAGTGAAATGACATTTCTGGCAGGTGAAATGTTTTCAATGCCAAACAATGATATGTTGTTTAATCTTATTTTGTTTATTTATTTCTACAATTATACGATATTTTTATAATCATTTAAATCCTAAAAAATCACTTAAACTTCAAAAAGATTTATCTAAATTCGAATAACCGTGAAGGAGTAATTTCCATTCATACATCTGTACAGAAGAATTTCATATATACGATATATATATATATATATATATATATATATTATAACACGAACATTATTACCTTCCCAAAGTTTCAAGTCATTATGCCTACTAATCGACGCCTTTGGCTCGAAAGAACATATATTTCTACGCCATTCCCTTACAATGAAAATGCAAATTACGAACTTCAAGCACATAACTTTAGCTATATTTTTATAAGCTATGTTAATTGTTAACCAGTAATAATTTATTATATTACTGTTTAGTTATTTATCGACGATTACCGTCGACCCATTATACCTAAGAGTTGCCTTGTCACTTTCTAACTAATAATATGCAACAGCCAATTTGCAACGAGAATAAATTCGAATATGTCTTTAGTTGAATGATTTAGCTAAACAATTTTGCATGTAGGTTTATTATTAGAAAATGACTTCATGACTTCAAGTATTTTACGCATCGACCACTTTATTTATGTAAGTGTTAACAAAACCACTTCTAAAATTGTGAGTATCGAACAAGGAAATCGGAACTAATATCATACTATAGATTTCAACATTTTGATATCAGAATCTGTATGCCACATATAATAAAATTGATAAATAATAATTTATAGCAGTATGTTCAATTTTACATATCCATTAAAGTGTGAATTTGCATTTCGTCAGCTAGTAATTTCTGAGAATGAAACTGAGGTTCATAATTGAATATTTTATGTTATATGCACAAGAGATAATCTCAGGAGCACACTCTTGCAGAAGATAAATACAAAATTTAATTAAGATTATATAGCTTATATACATTTAGTAAATTTAATGCTTAATTAAACATACTGCTATAATAAAATAGATTTATTAACTAATGAATTTATTTATAATTTTGCATAACTCTATATAATAAATACCTCATTTTCCATGGGTACCACAGCCTCATATTTGCAAACTGTATATGCATCATTGTGTTGAGGATTACTGAGGGCCATTTCTAAGCCTAAAAATAAAAAAAATATTAGTTTTTAATTTTTAACCTAAAATTTTAATAATTCAATATAGTAAATATAAAGTAATGTCTATATATGTTAAAAAATGTACCATCACATAAAGGTTCTAAATCTAATATGAATGTATTTTGTTTATGGTATTTCTGTAATCTGTAGTAAAGATTACTAATTTGTGATATTTGGTACCAATGGCTTTGAGAATGCTGCCCAATGATTGCCTATTCTATTATTTTAGGCTAACCAATGATTGTTATTTACTAATTGTTATAATATTTTGACTTTTTGCAGCAATGCACAGAAAAAAAATATATTTCTTTTCTATGTCTAATTCAAAACCATGTGGTCTCAAGTTATAATTATAATATATATAATTATGTAACCAATGATTGTCAATTTCTAATTATGATAATATTTTAACTTTTTGCACCAATGACAAAAAATATTCTAATTTCTGACCAGTTTTCAACCAAATATGAGAATATCACTACTTCTTGATATAAAGTCGCAAGCAACGCAAGGATTTGAACTTAAAACCTTGTGGTTACAAGATATGATTATATAAACAATTGATTATAATGTTTTTGCAACTGTGATAAAATTTTAGCTTTATTCAGCAATGCTAGAAAAAAGAATATAATTCTGATCCATTTTCAAGTGAAAATGGCAATATCACTACTGCTTGATGTAAGGTAGCAAACAAGACAAGGATTTGAGCTCAAAACCTTATGGTCGCAAGATATAATGATATAAACAATTAATTATGTAACCACCGGTTATTCTTTTGTAACTGTGAAAATACTTTAAGTTTTTGCAGCAATGCCCAGAAAAGAAATTTATATTTCTGATCAATTTTCAAGTAATACTGGAAATATCACCACTGCTCATAAGGTCACCCAAAACCTTGTAGTCGCAAGTCATAATTATTAAAATAATGAATTGAGCAATATTATTGCCCATTATTATAACTTGGACATACTACATTATTAATTTATAAATTTGTATTTTTATATCTTTATAAACCATTACAACGCGCAAAGAAAATAAATATGTATGCAAATTTGATAAATATATATAAATGTAGCGGAGCTAGGGGCTAATTGTAATGTGGGTAAGAAGTAACAAGCGTTTTTCAATGGGTTCTTAAACGAAATTACAAGGTATAATTTGTAACACGGCATTATTTCTATAAAATAATCAATTGGGAAATAATGAACATTAGTTATGGAATTATTTTCATTTGATTTGGAAGAGGAATTTAAAGCATTTACCTAATCAAAACTATTACAATTTTAAGAAAAACTGTTACAACAAGCCCCAAGCTCCCCCATGTGTAAAAAGTGTAAATAAAAAAGTATATATGAATAAGACAACAAAAGTCTAAATGATGTCAATAACAACTATTGACCAATAGTATTGATTGAAGAATTGTAAAGATCTGCTGTAATTCGGACAAATTTAGTATGTCATTGGGACATAATGTTTGTGTGAGCTTGTATATACATAATAAGTACACTAAAATAATATGAACAAGTGATAACTGTACGTTTCTTGACCAGTTTAGGATTTTTTTTTTTATTATTTGAAGAGAAATCAGTGCTACTCTGATGCTGTTTTATACTCTGCTATAATATGCCTGACTTTTTTAGAAAGCAACTCTATTTCTATTTGTGACAATTTTTTTTACTTAACTTTTGATATCAGGTTACACTTAGCGCGAAATATAAACTCGTGGACCTATTCTGCCGCATAACAAAAAACAATGTTATGGCAAGGCTATGTTAAGAAGATCTTGCCATACAAATCCGTTCTAAATATTACCAAAACCCATGTAGTTGCTGCGTAGTCAGGCGTTTTTCTCAGGTTGTCAGATAGAAAACCTAACCTAGAAACCGTACAAATGTCAAATAAACGATCTTAGATAACAGGGTCTTTCTGACACAGCTTCATAACATACGAGTGACGTTGCAGTGTATGTGTAAAACGCCTGAATGAACAGCAAGTACATGACATTTTAACAGTATTCAGTATGATTCATTAGCATAATGTATGCAAGTTAGAGCGTAACATGGCCTTGCTATAACATTGGTCTGTTATGAGGCAGAATCGACCCATCGATTCTGTGATTGCAAGTCAGAAGCTCTTATTAATTAAATTAATTCTTTTCAATTTTATCACAAGAAAACCTAATTATCGTAGTATGCAATATTTGAATTAAAAAAATTTGCAAAGAAAACAATGTGTAAAACCTGTTTACTACATATCGAAATGACATGTTTATAACATTAACATCAAGACATGCCCTACAAAGTCAATATATTGCAACATATTTCTTCAACAAACTTTAAATGCACATGTACGTATGTATATTAAAAAAATAACAAAAAACAAATTCGTTTACAGAAATAATTGCTAAACAATGACGCCCGTTAATCGTTCTTTTACTTAAAATCAAATAAAATATGGTTATCATTAATAATTTCGGCTTACAATATAAACTCATAAATGAAGACTAACGAGAAATATTTACAATTATACAGAATGTTAAATTTAGTAAAAAAGCAATAATTGTGCCGTTTCAAAGTCAGACAACAAAAACATAAAAATAACCAGACGTTTCTGAATATTTTGTTGAAAATAACCAGACATTTCTGAATATTTTTTATATAAAAAATCGTGTTGATGTTTTCATAAGCCGTCGTGTGGGTGTCCCTACAATTAATTTCGAATTTATTATCTAAATCAATATTCTGCTACAGATGTTCAGACTATACAGGTTTGCGGAGGAGTGCATAAATTTGTGATCATTAAAATAAAAAATAAACGTTCAATATGATTCGCTTTTTTATATGTTGATCGATTTCTAGACATAATTATTTAATCAAAATATTTGTGTAAATATTACTATGATAACCAACATTTTTTAACTTTTTGATATTTTTATTTTTTTTTCTCAACGTCTCAAGTCGTTCTGAATCAGGTGAGATCAAATTTGAAAATTGTAAATGTGTGTATGCAAGACAAAATTTAATCCTTTGTCTCTACTTTATCAAAATTGGATACATTGTAATAAAAAATTCAAATAAAAAATCATTCGAAAAGGATCCAAAATCTCGCTCTTTATTATTTCGTTTAGCTTTTTGCGACGATCGTCCGAGCCGTTTCTGTACAATTAGCAGATGAGTCTAAAAGTTTTGGTAGAGGTTTTAGACAATTAACGTTATTGTTAGTGTAATTGCCTAAAAATTAACCTTAGGTTGAAAAGTATCAGAATATATATTCTTATTTGTTAGATCTATTTATTAACAATTTCAGAATCATAAATCTTTTTGAATGCAGATAGTTAATTGACAAAAATTAAACTATTTCCAAAATATCAATAAGAGAATTTTTTACAATATGCCAATACTAACGTTAAATGTAAATTTTTAGATATTTTAGAAAAAAAAATCATTCTTGCATCAATAAATTATCAGTTTATCAATAATAGCTTTATAAGATTCAAAAATTTATTGAAATTCCACAAGTTTTTGGTACTGACTACCAATACCATTCAAAATTTCTGATTTTTGATCAATGTTTAATATTAGAGGACATTGGCAAAAGAATGGAATTCAGTTTAATCCTAATATGGATTTCAATAACAATATTTCGGCTTTAAAAGTAAATGATTTGATTTACAGGTTTCAAATTAGCATTTTATAAAAACATATGTCGCAGTTTAAAATAGTAGTGTGGAGGTGTTAATCATTATTGATTAATTTAAATAAACTATAAGATTTTGATATAATTGATTATTCAGCAGTTAAATTAAACAAGTGTGAGGCATTTGGAATAGAAGTTAGTCGACAATAAAACGTATGTGTGACTGATAATAATATTAAATTCAAAGCTACAAACCTTATATTTATGTTTTCTTCTTTTATTTTTTATCGTCATCAATTAGCTTTTTAATTTGATTCAAAATAATTTTCCGGAATTCATAAAATTTAAAATTGCTAAATGCTGTTCATTTAATTCAATATTCCTCGTTCAAATTGTCAGTTCATGGATTTAAATGTTTTTCTCTAAAAATTTATAAATATTTGCAATTTTCATTTGATTTAATTCGAAATGAAAATTCGAAAAACCAGAAATTTTTGTTCAGATTTTTGTTCTAATTATTTTTAAAATCTGATTAATTTAATAAACCCTTAGGTCAATATAAAAAGAGATGTTCTCACCGCCTGCCCTAGGCAATTTTGTTTGAAATTGCACAAAGCATTTTAATTACTATTTAAATATCTAGACCAGATCATATCATATAACAGCCAGAATTTCTGGTTTATGTATATATATATATATATATATATATATATATATATATATATAGTATATACGGATATGTGGTACAACTATGACATAAAATGTTTCTCAGAACGCAAACAGTTTTTTTCTTCAATTTAACCAGAACGGAAATTCAAACTAAATTTCTCATGGTATAAGTAAGTTGCAATGTCATTCCACAAACTATTTATATGGTACAGCTTTTAAAATAATTTTATAGTATTTATCCGTTCAATTATAATATTAATAAATGAATAATAATAATTTATTTATTAAAAAAAAAGAATAAAAAATCACGTTTTAGTCGACAGTTCTAGATTTTTTCATCGTGGATAATCAAAATATTTAAGAATAAAAAAAATGCTAAAACTATCCATGTGGTATCTATATGGAACTTTTATCAAAAACATAATATTCTGACAAATATGTTTTCTCTATTACAATTTGAAACTTAGCTTCAACATCCAGCAATTATAACATCAAACGCAAATTAGATAGTTTATCCAATTCTTTAAATACAATAGAAGATTCAGAACTTATTGATAAACTTTTACTCAAACAACTAAAAATTTCATGGCATCTGACTACTTAATTTGATCATTTGTACAACCATATTTCCTTTATGTACATACCAATTTATTTGAAATTTTTTAAAAAAGTTCTTATT